TCATGATTTTTTTGTTTCAGTTAAACTTTATTTAAAGGAGTGAAGGAGTTCGTATCCTTGATTTCTACCAATGATGTTATCAGAACACGTGAGGTAACCAATAGAAGCTTGTTTACATTTAACTACTAATGTGTTTCATGTCAACCAATCAGATTCCAGGTAATGTTGTGCTATCAAAAATTCCAGTCAAATTGAGGTAGGTAAAATTTTCTAAGAAAACCATGAAAAACAATAAATACTTTAAAAGAATATAAAACAATATGTGAGAAGATGAAAAATAAGTCTTTCCCTGCCAACAGAACCTCTATATCTTGTTGTTTCCAACTCTGTAAGATGACTCTCTACTTGTCAATCCTTTTACTTTCTAGAACCTTCTTGTCCTTAGTAGATAAAATGCATATTTGAGTCTTTTCAGGCCACTAGAGGCAAAAGTTTTTATTCAAAGAAGTTTATAAACAAGTAAGGGAGAGTAGGAGAGATACATGAAGACAAGTTTCAAGTTATTTTAATGAAAGTGTAAAGACTTTATTAGCAAAAAAGTATAAAACTTCTTGCGAACATCTTTTTTGTGTGTGGTCAGAGGATCAGTGGAAAGAGTTTTTTTGAAGGGATCAAGTGTATTATTGAAAATAAAAACTTCCATTAGGTAATAAGTTTTCTCAAAAAGTATATAAGAAGGTAATCAAGATCAAGAATGAATAAGTTCTTCAAATAGTTAGAAAAAGAAAGAATATTCAAATCAGATATTTTTTATTGAGAAGAGGTCTTGAAAAGCAAGTTTTTAGAGAAAGCTAGAAATTTTTTTTTAATTTTTACTCTTTTGTTTTCTGTTATCTATTTAGACATTTTTAAATATTATTCTTCTCCTTTTTCAATCCATTTTTTTTGCAGTTTTCTGTATTCCAATGGCTTAATATAATATATGCTAGTAATAATCTGCTGATAATAATGTAATAGATTAGAAGAGTTTTTATTCAAAAACATTATAAAGTAAAATATTGTCCACTAGTTCAAAGTTAGAAACTTTTATATAATGACATGTTAGTTAAATTAGAATAATAGTTTAGCTGTAGATATATTATACTGTTCAAATGAAAATATACTTATATTTTAATTAATTAATTAACTGATAATCAAATAAAATTTATCAAAAACTCTTTTCGCTGATCCTTTGACCACACACAAAAAGATATTTACAAGAAGTTTTAATACTTCTATGCTAATAAAGCCTTATCACTTTTTTTAAACTAACTCGAAGGTTTCTTTCAGAACTCTCCTACCCTCCCTCCTCTCTTGTTTATAATCTCCTTTGCACAAATTGGACTCATGTGGCCTGCAAAGTTTAGCTCTCACCTTTACTACTTATAGCAAGAAAGTTTCTAAAGGAAGAAGACACAACGCTGAAGTACCTCTTATTTCTCAGTTATGGTGGAGATAACATAGGTCTGCAGCCGGTTATAGGACTCACTCTTCTCCCCTTTGACTGGCGTTCTGGCCTCTTAGAGCTACCTTTTTCATGGCTTTTTGGGGAATTTTGCCTACCTCAACTTGACCCTGAAATTTTGGGTAGCACGGATCTCACCAACTCTGATTGGCTGACGTGAAACACGTTGGGCAAAATTGATAAACAAGCTTCTAGTGGCCATCTCACATGTCTGAATGCATTTCCTCAGCTCCATAAGAACCTGAGGTCCACAATAAGATATATGCCTTGGTGCGGGTGAATACAGTGCATGCTCTCTCTTACATCAGTGGAAATTCAAACGAAAGAGTCCATCCAACCATGGTAAAGGTTACAAGACACTCCAATCATTTTTGGTATTGGAGTCACCTACTCTTAGTAGCCAAGTAGATTTTTGCAGCTCAAACATATAGGTAAAGATTTGTTTTTCTTTTTAAATAAATAAAAACAAACAAGGTGGACAGAAACTTTTTCCCCGGCCGGTGGGTTTTTTACTTCTGATCCATGGTTTGTGGAAGGACCACAAACTGAAGAACCATACCAAGAACTCCAACACAACTTCCCCTCAAGCACGGTCTCTTAAGGCCGCTAGTGGTACCCACCAATCTTACTCCTAGTGAGAGAACTCAAATAAAAACTTTTGCCAGATTGGTAGATCCCCTAAAGACTTAATCCAACTTCGGAAGATTTGCACCTTCTTAAATAAGCAGCGTATGCTTGAAGCTAGTATTATCTTTAGAATCAGGTCAACAATCCCTCCAAAGGTTTTAAGGTATCCTCCTAGCCATAGGTCCTGCCAGGTTCTTTGAATGAGTAATCCCCTAGGTAGAGCATGGAACTCTGAAACTATTCTCTGCCCCTTCCAAGTAAGACAACCACACACTCTCTCAAAGATTAAGACACAACACCCCGGCAGATAATTTGTAGGTATTGGTAGTTTCATGGTGGAAGCTTCAGTGGATGGTCGATAGTAAAGAAAATCTAAGTCATTGCCTGGTAGCTTTTTGGTGTTTTTTCCTTTTTTTTTTTTTTTGGTTACCCTTCCTTGATAACAACTACAAGGAATATAGTTACTAACTTGGCCCCGGCAAGTTAGTTCCCTACATGGGAGGCAACAGACCACGAAGATCCCTATAGGAGATCTGAATTGGAGGAATCTTTGCATATATCTTTTAAACATACATGCTAGCATTGTTTCTAAATTTGTAGTTAGCTCTAAAGTAGATAATACAAATGTAATATCACATTTAAAGTTAATAAAAGCTAATCAAAGATTGAGCTGATCAAAAAAAAAAAAAATTAATTAACTAATAATCTAATCTGACTATGGACTGTAGTAGTGACTGCAGGCAATAATGTTTATAGTAGAAGGGTATTCACCCAAACTATAAACGGAGTGATAAATTATTCCTAAAGTTGTACTTAGAATTTGACAATAAACTAAGACAAGCAAGTTAGCATTTTAACTTTAGTGACATTGTAAATAATATAGCCTACATCATGTTTAATAAAGTACATATAAATAATCTAACAGCAGATTATTAAAAAAAAAAAAAAAAAATCTAATTTGACTATGGATACTTAAAAAAAAAAATAATTAATAAATAATAAAAATTTATATTTATATTTTTTAAAATATAAAAAATCAGATTATTTAAAATTTTTTAAAAAAATATTATAAATATTTAATTTAAAAATAAAAAATTGATTTTTTATAATATTCAAATTTTTATTATATATTATAAACTAAAAAAATTTTATTATTATTATTTTTTTTATTAAAGGTAATAAAACTCAATTGTATATGGATATTGTACGCTTATACAAAAAGTTTCAGCTATATATAATATGCACCTGATTATATATATCTTAAAAATATCTATAAGAATAAATATTATTTACAATATAGTCAATGTAAATTCATTTTCAGATTATTAGCTTGCCAATGTGATTTGTTGTCAAAGAAGTCCAACTATCTAATTATCTATATCAATATTACTTTTTCTTAACCTTTACAAATAATAATCTACAAATCCCGAAACTGTAATATAGGATCCCTTTTATATCTTATCCCATTGAATGTTTTTTTTACAATATTTATTACAATATATTTATGAAATATTCATGTGAAGTTTTAGATATCATCTTGTTCTACTGATAATCCTTTTTATATAACTTATTATAGTATATTTATAGGATAACTATATGGAGTCTTAAACGGATATCAATTTTAATAGAGATCTTTTTCTAACTAATATATCTAAGCTCTACTAGCTTTTTATAATATACAGATTTCAATCTATCTATAAAAACTTGTTGGAATCTATTTTGTAATAAGGTGACTTCAGTACTAAAACTAGCTGAAGTATCTTGAGATTTTAATCACAGGTGACAATAATTATTATTATAAAATGGATAGAATTTTTCTATACTACCTAGACTTAGATGATATTGTCTTGCAATAATATTGAATTCAGAAATAGTATATGATGACTTAGGAGTACTACAACTATGATATTAATCTACAGGTTTAAAAATTTATTAAAATTATTTTAATAAATAGATTTATCAAATAAAAACAAACAATTTAATAATTTTTTTATAATTTTTTTATTCTTTATAAATTAAATTAAATAGTTAAATATTTTTAAATTTGTATATAAATATTATAATAAAATCAAAAATTTTTAAAATTAATTTTATATAATAAAAATATAATTTAATTGTAAAATAATTATTTGTATTTAATAAAAAATTTTAAAAAAAATTTTTTTTTAATTTTATAATTAACTTTTTATAAAAATTTATTATAGTAAAACCTATATTTATTATTATTTTTTATATAATAGAGGACATTAAATTTTTATTAAAAAATATATTAAGTTATATAAATATTATAAGTTATATATTATTTTATAACAAATTATATATAAAACTATATTTAAAAAGTTAAATTTATATATATTAGTTTGTATAATATTCATCAAAAGACTTTTGCATCAAACTGTATATTTTAAAATAATGCATATTAAAAATATAATTTATAATTGTAACATTAAAAATAATTAAAACAATTCCTTATTTGTTATAAACAATCTATTCCTAGTTTTTTGTCGCCGAAAAAATATAATAAATATTCTATATAAGTAATTTGTGAAATGACAGTTAATAACTTATGCGTACGCCATGTTGCAAGGACATTTATAGGGGCGATTTACTGTGCCAACCAATTGTATTTACAAGGCAAATGGTATAATAACATCCTAAAATCCGACGAGTTCCGACAAAGTGTCACATTCAAGGAGATAACATATTCCTTTCAACTCCACCTCTTGTTTTGGTCCTTGCACATACTTTCGTGATTCTTTTCGAAGTCTTTTTCTCGTGACGTCCTTCATAGTTTGTGTCTATCCCAAATGTTCTTTCCTTAATCTCTGAACCTGGTTGTGACACTCCCTTTTCTAATATAATAAAAAGAAAATAAAATAAGATATATTACGACCTATTTTCGGAAAAGATTATTCTTTTTGACACAACCATGTCGAGCGAAACGAATACAAATATGAATGCTACAGGGTCCTCATCTATCGTTGCTGAAGCATTGCCCATAACAAACGAGGGTTCACAAGAGGAATCCGTTGCACGCAAGAAGCAAAGTCGGCAGGGCTGGAAAGGTCCATCCAAGGTCGAAAATAAAGAAACAAAAGGAAACAAGCCCGCTGTCGCTTCTGATGACAATGGAAATGACATTGACGAAAAAAAGAAGAAGGAGAAGAAGGGTGCTAAGATTCGTACACCCTCTTCGGATGGGTTGGATCAACCCAAAAGTAAGGAGGCGGAGCTGTTGGATGTGAATGATAAACAGGGTGTCTCTCATCAACGTCGTAAGTCAACTGCAAACACACCGGATTTGTCCAATAAGAATAAAAGTCCCAATAACGGCAATACTAACGTTGATAAGTCCTCTCATCGCCGCGGTAAATCTATGGCCAATGTCGGGGAACTTCAAGGTGTCACCGCTAAGAATGGTAACAGCAAAATTAAAGGTAGCAAAGATGATTCTGAAAACAAGTCCGAGGCCTTAGAGTCTCTACAACAAATTATTGCTAGCCTCAAAAATTTGCCGGCGGTTCCCACCAAATCCCAAAAATCAGATGAGAGTTCCCTTGATCCCACTTCGAAACACAAACGACACGAATCGAGTGCAGCAAGTGGAGGAAAGCGGCCCAGCGCTCCTGTGAAGCAACACAAGAAGGGAGCCTCCGTGTCCTTTTCTTTTCCTCTGACAACACCAGTGACTGCCTCGTTGAAGCCGATTCCCGACTCTGAAGACGGCAAACCCATGAATATTGAAAATGCATTGCAAGACACTATTTCTTCCTTGAGGCGTATGAGTCTAGACAAAGGAAAAACCCAGAAAGATAGAGAAACTGATAAGAGTGAAGAATACGATGAGACCGAAGAGGAAAGGAAGGCTCGGCGTAAAAAAAGTCAAAATAACAAAAAGCCCCTTAATTTGGATGATGCGGTACAAACTGGCGACAAAAAGCAAGAATTGGATTCACCAAGGTCCCCATTCGACTTCAGGAAACCTTCCGATGAGCAACCATCAGCTTCCAAGAAAACTCATCGCCGTCATCAATCCCTTGGTCATACATTGTCGATGACTTCTTCACCGGCTGCCGTTAGTAAAGTCAATAATATTCCCACACACAATCGACGACACAGTGTAGCTCTCAATGGTAGCAAGGATGTTTTGAAAGAACTTGAAAAGAGTCAAAGTCGATCCACCGGGGCAGACGCGAAAGGTCATCGCCGCAACAATTCCAGAAACTTTGAAAGTAACTGGCGAACAAGTAAGTCACAATTTTACGATAACGAATGGGTAAAATGTAACCGACGGTATAAAATGTTTTGACTTGATCAAAATTTGTTTGCCGTCGACAAAAACCTAAGTCATTGGCTTCTTGTAAAAATAATGAATGCAATGCACTTCTTTGTCATTCCAATAACACTCAGCTGCCTCGCCCCTTTCTGCCTTAGCTCAACCTTTCCAACCTTTTCCGTTAACCCCCAAATTTGGCGCAATCCAGAAGAAACAACAGCAGAACCAACAAAATTCCGGCAATCAAACAAGGAAGTCTCTCTTCGCCCCTTACCTAGCGCAAGCTAATCTCCCTCAACTCTTAAAATCGGGTCAACTTGTGTCCGGTGTTTTACGAATCAACAAGCGTAATAGATCCGATGCTTATGTGACCACCGAGTCCTTGGATGCGGACATTTATATCTGTGGTTCTAAGGATAGAAATCGTGCATTGGAAGGCGATGTGGTTGCAGTGGAGTTGTTAGATCCCGAAAAAGTGTGGCAGACTAAGAAAGAGAAAGAAGAGAAGAAAAGGAAGAAAGAAGAAAGTGCCGGAATCGACAAAAAGAAAGTTGATAAAAAGAAGGATGATGTCGAAGTTGAAGGTCAGGGTCTGCTGCTCTTCGAAGATGATGACATTGTCACCGATGAACAAAGACCAAAGTATTGTGGTCACGTGGTGGCAGTTATGGAAAGAATGCCAGGACAACTTTTCTCCGGGTAAATTAATTTTTTGAAAATCTGTGTTTTATGTAGATCCGTGTGCAGCATTGATTCATTAATTTTGATATGCCGTGTAGCACACTCGCTCTCCTGAGACCATCCTCGACTGCGACCAAAGAAAGAGAAGCCGCCGAGAAGGCTCGGAGAGAAGCTGAAGAAAGAGCTGCTGGTATTGAACCGAGAGTAGAAGACACCCGAGATGATAGGAAAGATGAAAAAAATGAGCGCCCAAAGATTGTTTGGTTCAAACCGGTATGGCTTTAGTAGTTTAATATGCATTGCAGAATCCTCATTTTTTTTTTTTTTTATTAAAAAAATAACGTAGCGGGAAACTTACGAGAGATCGAGAAATGGTGTGAGATATTTTTCGAGAACTTTGAAAAATAAAAAATCTGATATTCCTTGCAAGTACCTATATTATCTCACATCACCCGTTGATTCCTCGTAAGTTTCTCTTTACGACGCATATGTAACAAAAAAAAAAAAAAAAAAAAAAAAAAGAAGCGATGAGGTTCGGCAATGGAAGTGTATGACGAATGATGAGTTATAAAGATTCATGATTGAGTACGATTTCTACGTAGACCGATAAACGTGTCCCTCTGATTGCCATTCCGACCGAGCAAGCTCCTAGCGATTTTGTTGAAAACCATCAATCCTATTCACAACAACTGTTTGTCGTGAGTTACATTGACTTTTTTTTCCTGGCGATCATATCATCCTTTCAAAAGTCATCTAATGCATAAAAAAAAACTCTTGCTCTTTTCGTCAAAGGCGTGCATCAAACGTTGGCCGATTACCTCTCTTCATCCCTTCGGTACATTGGTTACTCAGCTCGGCGAAATCGGCAGCGTAGACGTTGAAACCGAGGCTCTTCTTAAGGACAACAATGTAACATCCGAAGAATTTGGTGAAAATATAACAAAGAGTCTTCCCATTATTCCATGGAATATTAGTGAAAAGGACATCGAATTACGTCGAGATCTGCGTTCCATCAGAATTTTCACGATCGATCCTTCTACCGCAAAAGATATTGACGACGCCATTTCTTGTTCTCGTTTACCTGACGGTAATTTCGAGATCGGTGTTCATATTGCAGATGTGAGTCATTTTGTAAAGCCAAATAGTCCCCTTGATCGTGAAGCCCGTAAAAGAGCAACCACAGTTTATCTCGTACAAAAATCGGTTTCCATGCTCCCTTCCCTACTTTCTGAGGAACTTTGCAGTTTGAATCCTGGAGTCGATCGGTAATTAAATGTTTTGGTATTACCTATTTACCTTTAAGGCATTTTCCAATATTTACACTTTTCTACATTCATTCGTTCATTCGTTCGTTCATTAGATTTGCATTCTCTGTTATTTGGAAAATGACACCCGAAGGTAAAAGTATAGAGACTTGGTATGGCCGAACCATTATTCGATCTTGCGCAAAATTGTCATATGACCAGGTGCAATCGGTAATCGAAGGAAATCCATTAAATTCTGAAGTCGAAATTCATAATGAATACGTGGCCAACGAAATTGAAGCCGATATCAAAGTTTTTCATGTAAGTCACAGCGTTATAATTTCCTTATTTAGTTTATCCGTCTAAATTATTTCAACTTTTTCTTCCCGATGTGTAAAAGGGCCTTTCTCAACGCCTGCGTGAACATCGCCACAAACGTGGAACACTGTCATTGGGATCTATCAGCTTAAAATTTGATCTTGATGAGGATGATCTCCCTCTTGAATGCAATGTGTATGAATCCAAGGATGCTAATCGCCTCATCGAAGAATTCATGTTGCTCGCTAATATAAGCGTTGCGCAGAAGATATCTAGTGCTTTCCCTGAACAAGCCTTGCTCAGGCGTCACGCCGTACCAATCGAACGCCGACTTGTATGTTTATGCGTTTGATGTAAATTAAATTTTTGTTGTTCAGTAACTAATGAAAATCAACCTTAATTATCTAGAATGATTTTGTCGAGCATGCCGAAAGATTAGGATATAATATTAACACCAGTTCTGCTGGAGCTTTGCAAAGGTCTCTTGATGCTGTCGAAGATGAAGATGCTAAAGAAGTATGAAGCTATTTGTTTAAACAAAAGCATTACTATCTGAAAATTAACAATATACCATAAACGTTCTTAGGTTTTGAAACTTCTTGCGATCAAGCCAATGCAAAAAGCCAAATATTTTTGTACCGGAACCTTGGACATAGTGAAATATCATCATTATGCTTTAAATGTTCCTCTCTATACTCATTTCACCTCCCCTATTCGCCGCTACGCCGACGTTCTTGTTCACCGTATGCTTGAAGCCGCGTTGTCTGGTGGTAATGCATATTCTCATATATCCATATTTACTTAATTTATCTATTAAAACCATCGATTTAAATCCTGGTCCTTCCAATGATTTAGAAAAACGCTTTTACCTCGACAAAGATACGGTTCAAAAAACTGCACAATATTGTAATGTCAAAAAGGAAGCAGCTAGGAACGCCCAAGAACAAAGCAATCATCTTTTCCTCTGCGTTCTACTCAATAATTTAACTGTTCAGCAAGGTCCTGTGATACGCGAAGCGATTGTGGTAGGAGTAAAAGATCATGCGTTTGATGTCTTGGTTCCTGTTTTTGGCATCGAAAAACGCGTTCACTTGGATCAACTTCCATTAGAAAAATTTGTATTTAATGAAGAAACTGGTCAACTTATTTTGTACTGGAAGCCGGGGGTTAGTTCTCTTGAACCAATTTCTGAAGACTACGGAGTTGGCGAGGATGAAGAAGAGGGTTTAGATGTCGACGAGGACGCATTGCTTGCCGACGTGAACGATGATTATCACTATGAAATGATGGGTATCACCAGTATTCGTATTGAAGATGAGCATAGATTATTCGATGATATTGGTGACGATGATGATCTTGAGGATGAAGATGCTCACGTCAGCGATGATGAGGATGTTGATAATGATAATATTGACGATAATATACCCGTTACTGATGTTTCAGCAATGCCCACCATTGAATCTCCTGCAACACACATCCAACGCCCCGAAAACGCTTCATTCGATCGGACTTCGCTTATAAACGCTTCACCTCTGAAGGCTTCCCCTCCAATTGTTAAAATTGCAGAAATTCCACAATTACCCATAGATGTAGACCCCTCCATTCCCAACTCTCAGATTATTCGAGAGCTTTCCCATCTTAATGTTGTAATTACTGCGGATTGTAAAAAGAGCCCGCCAGTTATTAAGGTTTTGGCTGTCAATCCATTTGCGTAAATTATTTCATATTATTACGATGTAATCATAAATTAACGAATATAATTATGTTTGGTTAGCGGATAGATTGAAATTATTTTCATATTTTTTTTTTGTTTGTTTTCTAGAGGAATCGATTTTTCTTAGGGTTATTGATGTGTTTTTTTTTCTCGTATTCTCTAATATTACATTTGGACATCGGTTTTTCTTTATTTTTTTATTTTATTTTATTTTTGGTGCATTACAAATAAGTTATCTAAAAAACATTGATTAATCGATTTCAGTAAATAAACTCCAATTTGGATATTCTTAAACTAAATACTAATGATTAAGTAAATTACGGGAAGATCGATAATATTGCTCGAAAAACTCATTCCAATAATCCTTTGATTACATACAAAAAAGTTTTTGACTTTTTAGATAATAAAGTTTTATTTTTATCTTTAAAAAACTTGAAAAGTATCTTCAAGGATTGCTACTACTTGTTTATTGATTAAAAAATTTGATTTTTGATAATCATGAAAAGTTAAATATATCCTTATTATCAATAATAAGAAAAAAATTTTTAAAAAAAGAATTAACTATAGAATATCTAAAAATCTTTTTATCTTTTAAGTGTGATTTTTTATGATAAAAAAGTTTATTTTCTTTTCTCATTAACTATTTTTATTCTCTTAGAAAAAATTTTGATTGATTAATTTTTTTTTTTTTTTTTTTTAACCCACAGTCAGGTCAATATGGCGTGTCTTTATTATATATATATTAGGTATTTACAAATTGTTGTGACTTTCACATACTAACTCACTCATCATCAAAAAAACTATTTCTCTAAATGCAACCTAGGGAATAATATTTCATTCTTTTACCAATTTGGATAATTCCTCTAATTAATAAAATCATTACCTATAGGTCATTACTGTAGATATTCTAAGTTTTGTCTGCAGTTAAAAGCCAAACCACTTAATTCTATGGCAAACCCAATCCTTGATAATAGCTGTATACTTCTTTCCTTCTATTTCTTTAATGTCCTCCAGGTTTGAGTTCTCTGGAGGTAATGGTAATTCTTTTTGATCTTGTTCGGTCTGTTCGTCAGGTCTAGACTTGGACCTCTTGTTTCTTTTATCCTCTTCTGTAATATTTTGCTTCTTTTCCCATTCTATAACTTTGGCACAACGAGTATTCCAGATCTTCTTTTTAAAGTTTGCTCTCATCTTTTGACAGAGTTTATCGATTATATACTATGTGTTTTTTGATGGGATCTTAAGCTGCTCTTTGAGATACTTTTTCAAGGAGGCAATCTTGTTTTCTTTCATATATTTACAGATGATATTGAAAAGGTCCTTGTTAGATTTTTGGATCACTTCTAACCATTTGTCTATCCAGTCACTTATGTTAAGTTGAACTTCTTTCTTGTCTTTTATTTCTTTACTGATAAGTTTCTTGATCTTTTTGTTTACCTTCTGCTATAAGTTTTTTCGAGTTTTCCTAGTAACTGGGTATTCAAAAAGATATCCTAGTGTCTCTTCTTGCAGTTCACAAGCTAGGCAAGTAGTTGTGGTATATACATCTGGTTTCCTCTTTTTAAGGATCTGTAAGATTGGAAGTTCATTGTAAGTTAAGTTAGTTAAGAAACTTTTGTCTTTATTGGTTTTGAAAAAGGTATCGAAGGTATTGGTTGGATTGAACTAGTTCCAGAAGGTTGGCTGGTCTATAATCTTATTATTTTGGATCCAAAAATCCTGGATCCGTTTCTGTGTTGTCCAGTCTAATCCAATCTTTTTCTTATTGAATATCTTAATGAAATCTCTGATACCAATTTTTATTGTATGCTCTTCCTATACTACTATTGTGAGAACTCTTCCTAGCTCTGGTAGCTGATGCCAAGTTATTGGATTCTTCTGTCTAGCCTGTTTAGCAAGTAAGTCTACTTGATTGTTGAATCTATTGATTCTGTGAGCTTTGACCTTTAGGATTTCTAAATTCAAGTCTTTCTTATTTACTAGGTCCTTGATCTTACTTCAAAGTGACCAGTTAGTGATATTTGTCCATCTTTTTGTAGATGTCTCTATTTGTGAGCAGATGGATTTCCATACTTTGACTGCAGTGTTGCAGTCAGTATAGATCGTAACTATTGTATTTCGGGGGACTGTATACAGTGCAATAAGAATAGTTAATATTTCAACTCTGGTTGCTGATGGCCATGTAACAGCTTTTGCTGAGAACTGTTTAACTATTTTGCCTTCCTCTATCATGATCCAAGCTAAACCCATTTCAAATTCACCATCTGTTGTCCCTTTTTTATAAGAGTCATCTATGTAGAATGTAAGTTTATCAGCCATATTCCTTTTGTTATGTTTCAAAATGCTCTTCAGTTCATCTTTATATTCTTCTGTTTGTATGGTTTTTTCTATTAGTGTGATATCCCAGTCTTCTACTTGAATCTCTACTTCGACTGATCTAAAAGTTGGTAGAACCACTGTTTGCTAAAATACATTTGTTTGCCAGTCTGTAGAGTTTCCTGGCAGAAGTATTTGTTTCCTTTTTCTTAGATTATTATGTCAATTAAACTGTGGAAGAAAGTGAATCAGTGACAGGACTACTTTTAACAGCTGCTTAATACTGTCTAGTTGAAAATGAGTATTGTTACTAGTAGGATCGTATACTAGCTAATATGAAGTGAAATAGGTTTTGTTGTTTATGGATGTTGTTTTTCCCCATGTATCTGTTGAAGTATTAGCCTGGACTGCCCAGTAAATCTTCCTTCTATCTGGGTTTGTTGGGAATATCTCAGTTTGTATATTATAAACTGTTAATTCAAGCCCATGTAGAGAGTTTTGTAGGAGACCTTGATTTACTGTTGTTTTTTCCTTCACTTTTTTGTACTAGGAGGAAACTGGTCTCTTGCATTTGCTATAGAGGATTTGAACTGCTCTCCATTCCTTGAGTGTCATTGTGGTAGTATTTATGAGTTGATCTAGAAATATGATCTTGTGTTTTTGTAGTGATAGAATGGCTTTTTCATATTCTCTATCCTCTTGCAGTATATATTTGATTGATAAGATACCTACCTGATAATTGAATATATTTTTCCATCTCCAACTTTAAAAAGTGACTTGTATGTTATTTACCAAAGCCAGTGTCATAGCTGCCAAGTTTCTTTTCGTCAACTTGAAAGAGTTGATAGGATTGCTTAGAATATTGCCTGGCTCCTAACATTTGATTTGGCTTTGTTTCAGTCTGATTATGATAGCAATACTAGGGGCCTCATTATTGTTAAGCTAATAAAAAAGTGCAGGTATGTGACTTTCTAGCTGTATCTTCCAGATATTTTTGAGACTATATATTCCTTTGTTGTGAATATAACTGTTTGGGATTGTTTCACAAACTAGGGCCTTGTTCTTGAATACTTTTCTAAATATGGCTGTGAGATTATTACATGTCTTTTTACTCAGGTATGTATATTGTGTTCATATTCTATTCTTGAAATCAGGATCCTATTGATAACGTATTGGGCATGTTTTTCTATCAGCTTTTTCTTGGTTATTGCTTGAACTACTGTTCTGATCTCTGATTTTATAAGACTGATAGTGTCCTGATTTTTTTGTTACGATTCTAACCAAATATCAAGAAATTTAGCCTAGTCCTCCTTGTTGATTTCAGGGACTATAGTATTCTCTGTTTCAGCTTGAACTGTCCTAGGGACTTGTGGATTTTGGTTGATAGTAAGAAGGATTGACTTCTCTATATTAATCTGAGAGTCATTTGTTATATAGAACTTTTTCACTTCTTCCAGGATCTTTTCCAGGTCTTCCTTGGATTTGGCAATCCAGGTCATGTCATCCATGTAGGCAATTACAGCCTACCTTAAGGAGAGCTTCATCTTCTCTTCAAGTTTACTAAAGTTGGGAGACCATTCTTCTTCCATGGAATAACCCAAGTTGCTGTTGTTTTGGATCTTACATAAAAGTGGATTATAGAAGATTCTCCATAATAATGGAGAAATTGTTTCTCCTTGATCTATTTCATCCCCAGCCACTATTGAATTAGATAGTCCATTGGAAAGGATAATAATACAGCTTCTATCTTTGAAGAGATCTATTATGAGCTTTTTAATGGTTGTAGGGATTCAAATCCAATCTATGGCCTTTTCAAGCATATACAAAGATATTGTATCATATGCCTTTGCAGTATCTTGAAATAGAATCTATAGCTCTTTTTTTTTTTCTCTAATCTCTTCACAAATGTTGTTCAACAGATGGATAGGCTCTGCTGTACTTTCTTCCTGTAACCCAGCAAAGTTGGGTCCTTTTGATATTTTGTATTGCTTGCAAATAGCTGATAGTCAGTTGGTAAGGATCTTAATAAAACATTTTCGAGTTGTTTCTAAAAGAATGATAGGTCTTGTATTGCTTAGATCATATTTATAAGGCTTGGGTTTGGGAATTGGATAGATATTGCTGCTTTTTCATTTCTTTGGTATTTGATCTGTGCTTAAAACTTTATTAAAAAGAAGACATAAAGTTTCTTTTCCTTTAATCTTTAAATGTTTGAGTATTTTGTAGCTGATGTATAAGGGGCCAGCAGCCTTGTTATTAGGAAGAAATTGTAAAGTAGCTTCGAGCTCTTCTACATTGATTTCTTCTATTAAAGATAAATACCATGTTGGGTCGATCCATTCTTTGGATTGGTATTCTTTTTTCCAAGAGAGGTCTAGATTCTCGAAGTTGACATTTCTCTTTTTGAACACCCTTTTGTGATATTCTTCAACCTTGCTTCTAATAGTTTGAGGGTTAGTAGCAATGTATTTTTTCCCTTCCTAATTTGTGGTTAGCACCCGATCTAATGTAATTCTTAGTTTTTTACAGTTTAAGACTGAGCCCAGCATCTGTTTCTGATTGGATCTAAGATCATCACATCTGTTATTCAGAGCCTCCTTGATTTGGTTTCTGATATAAAGACTTTCTTTTTTCTTGCATATTATTCTGAGAGTATGT